AACCACAGTTTGTGAACCTATATGTCAGGGTAGTAAAATCTTCAAACAGCGAGCAGATTATTATTGGAATGAGCAGAGCACTTTGGACTAATGCCTCTGACCATTTACAGCTTAGAGGTACATATCCTATATTTTGTCAAAAACTTCTCTGTTACATAGCGGATCATAATGACCCCCAGTGGGGTCTTCACGCTTCGTTAAATATGGAAAAATCTCAATATTTTAGACGAAATCTTGAGATCTTATGAGACAATATTGAGATTTTTTATGACAATCTCCAGATCTTTCAGAAAATCTTGAGATGAAAAGAAAAGGTCTCAAGATCTTTCCAAATGTTTTCAAAGTATCTTGAGATTTTTCCAAAGCATCTCGAGATGCTTTAAGAAATATCAAGATTTTTAAAGCAATCTTGAAAAAACGTGAGATCTTTTAAACAATCTTGATATTTTTTAAAGCATCTCGAGATGCTTTGGAAAAATCTCAAGATACTTTGAAAACATTTGGAAAGATCTTGAGACCTTTTGTTTTCATCTCAAGATTTTCTGAAAGATCTGGAGATTGTCATGAACAATCTCAAGATTGTCTTATAAGATCTCAAGATTTCGTCTAAAATATTGAGATCTTTAGAAAAAATCTTGAGATTTTTCAATTTTTAACGAAGCGTGAAGACCCCCACTGGGGGTCATTATGATCCGCTATGTAACAGAGAAGTTTTTGACAAAATATTGGATATGTACCTCTAAGCTGTAAATGATCAGAGGCATTAGTCCAAAGTGCTCTGCTCATTCCAATAATAATCTGCTCGGTGTTAAAAGCAATATTTATTTCAAAAACTGGCATTTTTCAAGTGCAACAGCATAACGTAGATTTTATGCCAATTTCTGGTCTTAAATTGGCCATAGCATAAGTTTTAAACATCTTAACACCAAATCTCTTCCTGATTGTCTGGAAAATAACTGTACTAGTATAACAAGTTTGATAAATGTCAACAGAATGCGATAAATACTGAGTAAGAATGACATAACGATGCACGATGCCATTGGCACACCCTGATCTCGGAATAGCCGTTAAGAATAAACAGAGCAGAAGTTTGTTAGGCTAGACCAAGTGAAGGTACATGTAAACACTTATTTTGTCTTTGCCCAATATTACAACAAAACAATCCTTGATAGAGGCAATTATATATCAGAGGACGTACCTTTGATTGTGATGACCCACACAGCTGGCAGTAAAGAAGCAGTGGTGGTCCCGCCGGAGGACACAGTTATGACAGATACTACAGTGCCAGGTACGAGGTGGTGTGTGAACCTATTAAAAAAAGAACATTCACATCATGGATTGAAGTAGCCTCCACCAGACTTCTGTGCAGGCTGAATAAATAGTAGAAATCAGAAAAGTAAAATGGAATGTATTATTTGATTATACTGGCCAAGGGAGTTAGATGGCCAAGAGGGTCCAGTTTGCCTGCAAGGAACTGGACATTCTAATTCTAAGGACTATGGACGGCTAACTCCCCTCACCAGTTACAATTTCCTTCTTTAATAGGTCAAGTTCTCCTTTATCTACATGTACAATGTATTCAGCCTGCAAAGGAGTCCAGTGGAGACTATCATGAAAGGGTATAAGAATTTTTCAGAGAAAATCTATGCCGTGTTAATGTAGAAATAACAGTGACTCTGGCAGATGTATGAATCTGAAAAAAATCCCACTGGGAAACTATTTTCCAGTGATCGTATCAGGTTTGTAAATTATTCATAGCAATCGAAACAATGGGTCATAAAACTCATAACCCAACATCTGATAATTTATAGACAAGTACTAACTGTACACGCTTCTTCAATAATATTTGTATGAATCCAGGAAAAATAAGGTAACTTAAAGTTGGTTTTTAAAATGATGCAAGGAATTACGTTATAAATTTTCTTTACTATAAATAGGAGAGGTTCATAATAAATTTTACCTGGCAGGTCATACAGTGTCCCCACGCCCGCGGTACCGGGTCTGGGTCCTCCCTGTTACGGTACGTGGTGTCGGTGATCGTGCACAGGACGTGGTTCGCCACCATGTTAAAGAAGATGTACACCGTCAGCAGGTAGCGTAATAAAATCCCCGTAAAATCATAGTCGGCGTAAATGTGAGGAATGGTGATGTAGAGGTCGGTGGTGAGGAAGATGACAGACACAGTGATGTAGTACACGAACGCAGCGGCGTGTAGGAGCCAAAGTTTGTCCCCTAGTGCGATGTGAGGAATGTGGAAAGCCATAACCTACACCTGGATATATAACGATACTGTACACATGAAAAATTGAAAGAGAAATAGCCTAAAATTGCTCCTAACGGTACATTTACACCGACACACAAACTGACCCCGTCCAAATGACCTATGTAGAAGGTTCAACTCGAAATATAGGGGGAAATTATTTTACTTCGTTATAAAAGAAGTCAACGTATGTGGCCAGAAATCATAACACAGAATGATTGACTATTTTAACATATATTTTAGTAAAAGTACAAACTAACAAACGGGATTTTATTAGAATTATTTGTATGATATGGCTTCTATCTTCATTCATCATTCAAATGTTACCCATATGATAGGTGGTTACACCCATGTTCTGTTCGCCTCCTCAGAAACACTTCCGGGATTCGGCTCAACCGCTCAACGATCCAGGACAAGTAAACGTTAGGGTTAGGTATGTATATTTACAAGGAGGTTTAAAATCGAAGAGCTTAAAATCTATCCGTTAGAATCCTATATATCCGTTAGAATCCTATATATAATATTCTTACTAGAATGCAGCACATCCTGACACTCTCTTTACAACATGCAAGCTGCCCAGCGTCCGGTATTTTGCATCTCTTTTGACGAGAGCATGAAGCCTGATAGTATTTGTAGTATTGCCGTCAAGCGATTCCTTGGTGACTATAGAAACCTCCTTGGGTTAACGTTGTGTGTGTCCCGAGAAGTATAATGTGTATGTGAAGGATGGTAAGTGGCAAAAATTTTCGTTCTTTAATATTCTTGAACATAGCTGGGTATATAAATGCGAATTAGTACAGGAAAAATTGGAGCTGTGCAGGTATTTCTGATGTCTATGTATTAAACCTGTACCTAACCTGCACTGGTCCATGTACTGGGTATATGCAGGTTAGTGCAGGTAAAATTGGAGCTGTGCAGGTATTTCTGATGTCTACCTGCACCTAACCTGCACTGGTCCATGTACTGGGTATATGCAGGTTAGTGCAGGTAAAATTGGAGCTGTGCAGGTATTTCTGATGTCTACCTGCACCTAACCTGCACTGGTCCATGTACTGGGTATATGCAGGTTATAATTAGTGCAGGTAAAATTGGAGCTGTGCAGGTATTTCTGCACCAAAAATATGAAACCTATTGTATTTCGAGCCTTGTTCGGTTGTTGGTAAGTTGGTATTGCTTGAATGTAACTAGGATTTGTAACTTTACAGGGAATTGTTTCTGAGGAAAGCTGAAGGAGACCCTGCCTAACAACATGCATCTCGCGACCAACAGTCAACATACCTGGACCCGTCTGTTACACTTCATGAACTGGCTGGGACTACTGTACTTCCTTGTCATGCTGGTTACCGTGCCACTCGTATGTATCACAGTGATCGCCCCGACATACCAGCAACCGTTTCTTCACCAAGCTGCAATGGCCTTTACCTCTCTTCAAATTTTCTGCAATTATCTACTTGCAATTTTGACGAACACTAGCCACAGCGGTCGAGCGGGGGATACATCGGACAACCCTCCTCCGGGATCACATTATTGCAAACTCTGCCAAAAAGTCATTCTCAGAAGAGACCACCACTGTTTCTTCATGTACTGCTGCATTGGGAAGTACAACCAATGCTACTTCATAGTGTACTGTTTTTACATCATGCTAGGAGGGCTGTATGCTGTGTTACTACAGGGACTGTATCTGAATCAAAAGTACAATGTCAAGTTTAACAGTTTTACTCTTCTCATCTTGTTGCCGAAGACGTTTTATGAGTTTTTCGTGGAGGCCGTGTCACCCTCTCAGTTCTTACTGACTGTTGTTATGTATGGCACTCTTGTTGCCGCGCTAACCTGCGCTGGATTCTTCTACTGGGAAATGAGCATCACGTTTGACGGGCAGACCAGCCACGAGGCTCTGATGGGGGAAATAAAGGACGGTAAAGGCGCGTGGGAAAACATAATCGATGTTCTTGGGAAGTACTGGTACCTGCGATTTCTGGTGCCGTATCCTTTCAAGCCTTTGGATGTGTCGGATGTCAAGAAAAAACAACATGGAAAAGTGTCAAGAAAGAAGGCAAAGAGAATGTAGTCATTATAAAAGATGTCTCTGGATACTGAAATCACTTTATATTCGCGATAGCAGAATTTCACCGTCTGAGAAAAATGGTCATGTTCACTGTGATGGCAGGTGCAGAAAAAAGAAAGTCGACAAATTATTTGTTTGTGGTAATGATAAATTTGCAGTACAGAAGTGACCGCAAAAACCGCGAATATAAAAGTACTGTGAAAAAAATTCTGATTTACAGTATGCAAATTATCATGTCTAGGATAACTGTGAAAGAGTAAATACATTCTGTACTGCAAAGCCCTATTTCTACTAATACATGTAGTAAACTTAGACTCAGAGTGATACACTCAGAGTTTTCATATATTTTATTCACTTCGCAACTACATGTACAATGTAAAAAAGTTGTAAATATAATATACTCTTGGCATATCATATGTACATCTAACATAAGAGACATTGCAATCACCACAAAATTACGTATGTACCTTAATTTCCTACCTCAGTCAACAGGTCAAACCTAGATGATCCTACTATCAATAAGTAGGTCTTGTTCATGATTAAAATGTCAAATTCCATTCATCAGTGCCAGTGCAATTTTCTTCTGTATCAAATTTCACACATTTTAAAGAATTAAAACCTTTGTTATTGTTCTGCAATTGTTTCACATATATGTACAAATACTACACTGGTGTATACTAAGTACTATACATGTATGTATATGTACAATGTATGTTCAATATTTGTGAAGTTTGTCTTTTTTTCTGTTATGTTGTGAGAAATTCCAAACCAGAAATTTGTTCACCCAAAATCACATCATGATAAAATACTATGTACAAACAGCTGCCTTAGAGCCGATTTATCTAATTTCTAAATAAAATGGAAAACAAAATTCAATTGGCACAAAAATATCAAACAGCAGCAGCAGTGTGTGTGTCAGGACTTCCTGTCTCTGTACTGCCCCAGACCTCAGTCCTGTCTTCAGTTCTTCAATGATCACAGGTCTTTGAGAATCTGCAAAACAACCTACAGAACAAGAAATCATGTTTGGTATTATTGTACATGAAGGCAAGAAATTATTGCAAATGCTCGAAATATATAAAGCAATACATAGACCAGTGCAGGTTAGATGCAGGTAGACATCAGAAATACCTGAACAACTCCAATTTTACCCACACGAACTTGCATATACATATGTCAAGCTCTGGATTGTCTTGACAAAAACTGATTACAAGTATTTTTTCAGAATCGTGATAATAAACGGTGATATACTATTGACTGATTGATACATGTGCTACCTTACAAAGGGGTACTATCAACTGTACACTTTATGAATAGAAACTTACCTGAGCCTTCTGTCCAATATTGCCAGGCCTTGTGGCTATCTTCTGAATGGAGTCAGTCATAGCCACTATGCTTGTGTACACCCCATTCACACTCCTATTGGAACACAAACATTTGTCATCATTAATCAAGAACAAAATGAAAAAAAGCAAGAAATCAAGCTTTTAATACCTCCATGTAGCATTTAGGGTGGTTGTGAATTTCTTGTTTTGCTGGAAACCATTTTAACCTCCAACTTGACCTTTCTGTCAGTCATTGGTTACACCATTTGTCCACCACTTCCTTGACTCTACTGTATTCAAATATCTACAGACACACTCAAGCAAACTAACACAACAATAAAACCTCTGTATATGAAGGTAATAATAACAAAGAAGAACTTTAAAACAAAGATACTGGGAGACAAATTCGCTGGAATAACATTATTATTTGCAGTTGTATTGACTATCACATACATTTTGAATAATTAGATCTACTACAGAATACACATGAAGAGAGAATATTCCACATGGAAAGCAAAGGTTTTTTTTTTGTTGGATCACTGACCTACTCCTGAGTCCAAGCTTCAGAGTTTGCTGGGAGGCCTGCAGTGACTTGAGATCCTTCCACCAGTGTTTCAGGATGGTGCGTATCAGGTCCAGACTTCCAGAGATGTAGCTACATTGGAGGGGACAACAACACAACGTTGAGCGGAATAATGCAGTTCTAAGTATTATGAAGGACTGAAATATCAAAATATAGATTGTATATATGATAGGTCCTCAATGACAAGCATAAACTAGAGGAGCTTTTTTGGTCTGTTTTGTTTGTTGTTTTTATTAATATTATTTTTTTCTAATTTTCACTATACTGACGTTTTGACAACTTCTCTGTCATCTTCATTAGGGCAAAGTGAACTTACAGATGTGACAAGAATGAATGAAATGATGTGTTCCCAAATGTGACTTGTAGCCATTTCTACTGGTAGTATAACCTGTCTGTTTCAGTTGTTCACCTATCAATTAAGAGCAATGACTGAAGTTGTTACTACATATAAGAAGGAACATGGCACTTTCTTACTCTTCATACTTGCTTGTAAGCATCTTCTGCAGAGCAGGCAGCAGCTCAAGACACGCGCCCATTGAGATCGGCTTCCCAATGGCATTTCCATTCTTGATGCTAAAGTAGAAATTGATTGTGAAAAATTAGACTTTATCCTACTACTAGTATGCAATGTGTAAGAATGTGAGGAAACATCTCTAGAATGAGAGACTTAACTGGAAGAAGAGCCAGACATCTATAAATCATCTCCTTTACTCGTTAATTGTTGCATAGCTCATCAAATCTTTGAAATATCACATTCATATGCAGGCTAAGGTGCTGGTAAAATTGGAACTGTGCATGTTCTCACCTCTTGATCAGGATCGGAATGACATCAGCTATCAGTGCTTCATTGTTTATTCTGAAGAAAAAAAAACATACAAGTTGACATGTTGACATGTTTGAAACTCTAATATTGCATCACCGAATCAGAGGAAGGGTTAGAAGGCAGACCTTCAGTGTCAGAGTTGTTAGATACTGGAATGCTCTACCACAGTCTGTAGTCGACTCAGTGAACGAGTTTAAATCATGGTTAGACAAACACTGGGAAAGTCTGAAGTACACATGAGTAAAGTTCGTGAGCGGGATTACTACGGGCAAGCCTTCTCATCCCGAAGACGGTATCAAGGTATCAAGGAGTGAGTGAATGAGTCCGTACCTCAAAATGTAAGAGACCAGAGCAGTTGGGCTCTGTCTCCAGAAGGTCAGAGCTGCTTGGAGCCAGAGTAGCCTGCTGGACAAGACTTTAGTCATGGTGGGATGGCCTGCACTCAACTGGGAAGTGATAAAAAATACACCAGATTATAAGCCTGGAATCCTGGCTGGCTTACATATAGCAATCGTTGGAAGAAATACTGTACAACAAGACTGAATGCCAGACTACTAGACCATAGCATAGTGTCAAAAGTGATACATTGTAACAAGTAAATTTTTTCAAAACTTACTTGACAGTCTCAATGTTGTGTATCTTGGCTGGATGTAGTTTTATACACACCTGCAAGAGGGCGTCCTCCTCCTCTGTAGCAACTCCCGAATCCTTTGACTTCCTGACATTAGCAGCTACAGACCTGTTTTCCCTGTCCTCTGCTGAAGGTGACAGGACTGACTCCCAGTCCATGTTCTCTACTCGGGGCTGCTTGACTGGAGTGAATCCTCTTGGAGGGGATGGAGACTTGCTCTACAGGATACACACACATAGGACTTATAATACATTGTAGATACAACAGGGCTTGAAATAGATGGTATGGGTGCATGTGCACCTCAGTGCACCCAAATTTGGAGCTGTGCGCCCAATTTTTTTTGTGGGTGCACTGGTGCACCCAAATAAAATCGTAAGTTTACGTATGTAACGTTAAAGATGTTAAGTGTCAGAAAAATTGTTAAACATCATTGTTATATTATAGTGCTTTTCTTAAGAAATGAAACATAATTAGTTTTTATTTATCTTATATGGTGCACCCCCCAAAAATTTTGTGTACCAGTGCACCTATTCCCAAAAATGAATTTCAAGCCCTGCAAACAAGGTTTATGGGTATTTGCTGAACATATATTAGATCTATATATGCCATAGAATATAAAATATATTATATTCTATGTACATACATGTAGTCTCCAAATTTGTCAGCCACCATTTTTTTGGAGAGGTACTAACGAGATAGTAAGCATGGTACACTTTTGGCAAGAGATAAAAATAACTTTCAATTTTTGATTTCAAACTCTCTCAAATCAATAACCTAGTTGGATAGTGATGATTTATCATCAGTCATGACATTGATTTTATACTCTTTTTTTTCATTAATACTTTCTTTGTGGTGATTGGTGAAAAATGGTGGCTAATGGACACTGTCTTGCCACCATAGGATCTGCTTGGCAGTTTTATTTGTGTCTATGACATGCTAACTGTGATTGTATACCTTCTTCCGTTTTGTAGGGGTTGGCTTCTTGCAAGCTTTCTTGCCAGGCATTTGAAAGACTGGTGGATGTTTTGCTTGATTCTGTCTTCCTTGTTGAAGGTTCATTGCCCTGTGGAGGAAAGTATAATTTCAATGTGTTAGAATTATTCAATTATCCTCCAAAGATTCAAGATTACAAAATTCTTATGACTCAGTTAATAATGAAAGATAACACTTATAAGCTAGTACTAGTACATCTACATTGATTCTATAGCAGCTGTTGCTTTAGTGCTTCATTGTTTGCCAACTTTTATTTAGAAAAAAATTTGCATGGTAGCTAGGTTAAAAAAAATGTCACCTACGAATGGTTCTGGTGATACAACATACAACGTTATAATATACCAATGGAGGTAAGCTATATCCTATCAGTTAGATCATGGAGTTACATGCCGTTGGTTAGATCCATCTAAAATTCTTAGGGTTACTGCTAGAGATATCAACATTTGTATCTTCATACTAACTTGCTAGTAACGTTAGTAAATTAATATGTTACCTCCGTTTCAGCATAGCTTGCACTTGATCCTCTCCATAAGGTGTTATCTTTTTCTGAAAAGACACAATTTTTGAATCGGCTTATATTTTTTTATAACCTTAACGTTTATGTAACAAATTATGTTAAGATAAACTTTGCAGCATTATGTTAGTATACTATCTAGACAGTTCAAACTACAACGTATATGTAGCAATACAGTATTTGTGCCGAAAATACACAGTGTATTCATCGTGCACAACGTTATAAAAAATTACTATTACTAGTCAGTGAGTGCTATACTACTAGTGTACAATCTTTCTACACACCTTCGCCTGTTCCTGCTCGGCTTTCTTCCGGTCATGATGATTTGGCCCGTTTTCATTTACCCAAACATACTTCCTCTTCACAAAATCCCACTGGATGCGTCCGCCATATCCAGGAAACGCTGCCATCTCTAACTGTGGTCCAAATACAAAATGCCAGCGCTTTATAAAGCTCTGACCGTGGGGCGAAAGATTTGTGACACCTTTTGACACTTCACTTTCAAAAACTGCTTACTTTTCTCTGATTGGTTAGAAGTCAAATAAGCAGACCAATCAGCATGCGGATTTTTAATTCTTGACCCCTGACCTCCCAGAGTAACCAAGATGGCTGTAGATTACACAAACATCTGGGCTTTCGTCTAAATTCTATCCATTTTGACTCAAACTATGACAGTTCATAGCTTCAGCTAGTGTACAATGTGTTGATAAGGACTTGGGTAATGGCTGGAGGTGATATTGCTGCTTCTAACTCGCTAAGGTAAGTGAATATCGGTGAACTCTTTCATGCCCGGGCAAGTCCTCCGAAAGTGGCGGGGGAGGCTGTTGTGCATAAATTATTTTCCCCAGAATGTCCCAAGGGAAGGGAATTGTCAAAACTGCCGCAATACCTTATAAACGTTTTAAATTTCGGATGTTTTAGAGCATCTGTTTCTCTATGCTTCAAATAAATCAGCTATGCAATGTCTTTGATTTTCAATCTCAGCCATGGCCTTGTATATTAGTCAATCACAGGTTTTATTAGCCGTGGCGACTCTTGATTCGGGCTTACATTGCATTACCCTACGAGAGTAATGCAAATGTAAGCCCGAATCAAGAGTCGCCACGGCTAAGGTTTTATATACTTTTTTTAGCCCAGTCAAGTTGACATAATTTATTGTCCTCATGTCAAATAGCTGACACATCTCCTGAGTCCTGAATCATAGAATGTAATGATACTTAAGGGTACAAGCAGACAACTTCTTCGAGTTAGCAGGGGGTACAACAAGAGGCCATAACTTCAAGTTGAAGGTACCATTGGCCAAGTCAAGGAGTAGACAGCATGTATTCAGTGTGAGGGTCATCAAAGATTGGAATTCGCTGCCGTCGACAGTAGTATCCAGTGAAACAGTCAACCAGTTTAAAACGAGATTGGATCGACACTGGGAGCATCTGAAGTACGAAGAAGGCGTCTAAGACCAGTCCACAACAGGCGGGAAGAAGCCTTACTCGACTGTAGACGGTATCAAGTATCAAGTATCAAGTACTTATAAACATTTTAAATTTCGGATATGTTTATATAGAGCATCTGTATCTCTGTGCTTCAAACAAATCAGCTATGAATGTATTTGATTTTCAAATTATCTCAGCCATAAAAAACAGGTGGAGCGAGTAGAAACAGATAAAAACCCCTGGTACCGGGCCGGGGTTCAAACCCACGACCTCCTGAGCACCAGCTTCGAACTCCTACGCTCTATTAAACCACTCGGCTTAAAGGTCTAGACCCCTCGGCCGGGTCAGTTGGTAGTGCCTGTAAGCCCCCCACTGTTACACAATCACAGGTTTTATAAACTTTTGTTTTAAGCCCATTCAAGTTGAAATTATTATCCTGTCCTCAGGTCAGTGTGAGACAGTATAACCATGTCTGCATGGTTAGAGCTGACCATACCTACGGCCACCTCACCGTCTCACACCCAACATTCCTGCAACGGAACTTACCTCGCCGTGCCACATGGCAAGGGTGAAGTGGGAGTGTGGAGCCTGCAAGATCTGGGCTTCAGGGTAAGGCCATGCAAGTTGTTCCTAACCACTCTTAAGTATTCCTGACGATACGTTTGCCATCTGTAGCAGTGTTTTTTATGTCAATACTTGTAAAAAAATATGGAATGCTTGTGGACAGTTTCAACTTGTAAACAAGTGTAAACAAATGCCCCGCCCCCTCAGTTAATTTTTGCAACGTGTTCCCTAAGTTAATTAATTTTCGCGACCCTGCCCTTCCCATCTGGACGGCCTCTCAGCTGCAGTCTGGCGGAAACACTGCCACTATTCGTCTGTGCCATCTTTTGAATTCGAATGACAATACTAATTGTTTAGAATTTTTTTCTGTCATCTCAGTTTTGTTTGAAGTAACATCATGAAATGCTTTTTAAGTTTTAAGGTTTCTTCCAACACAAGGGACCGTTTTCACCTAGAGCTTTCTCCAGGCAGTCACTCTGGTCTTCTTCAACAGACTGACCCAATAAACTTGACACATGACATTTTCTGAAGTGTGATGTCAACACTGGGAACAGCAGTTCTTAGTTTAAACATGTAACTACTAACACAGATCAACTTTCATGATAGTACAGTATTAGTACTGTATCATGAAATACTATTTCCTGCATTTGAGGGGCAAAGTTTGCTTACTCTTTCTATGTTTAATACACACTGAATTTTGTCTGGAAAAGAGGATGCATTGGGCAAAATTTTTGTCTGTCACGAGTGGCAAAATTGCGTCAAATGATGGAAGGTCAGATGCTGGTTAGACCACTAACTTATAACTTATGTACTGTAAAATTTGTGAAGGGTTTACCTTGCAATGGTTTTATTTTTGGCAGTGACCTCTTCCTGTAAAGTTACGTTACTTCATGGAGGATTGTGTCTCTTGGGTCAGATGCTTATTTATGATATAAATACACGTACAAATGTACACCTTTTTCAGCAACTGGACTTGGTAGCACACAGAAAAGCTGTCACTGCTACAAGCTTTGGTTTCCATTCTCAGCCTACACTTCTGTGTACTGCTGCAGAGGACTACATCATAGTATGGAACATTGAGGAGGCACGACATATGTATGAGAAAGGTAGGGATTTTGTACTTAATAGATTTCTAACTAATTATGCAGATGTATGTTTCACTTAGAACTAGCAAAGACCCACTTTACACTGATGATATTGTTTAAGTACTACTACGTATCTGTCTCACAACCTACCTGTTTTAAGGTAGCGTTTTCTTGTGATTTTAGAATATGACAGTAACTGGTAACAAATGTGCAAATGTATATTGTTAGTTAGGAATGATAAGATTATTGGTAAATTGACTAATGTCAACAGTTTTTAAATTTGTAAAATGTATGCAATTCAGCCTCTGGCTGTGATGTACTCTACATATCTAATCAAGAATCTGGTGATCAAATAAACCATTCCTTCCTTCCTTCCTTCCTTCATTCCTTCCTTCCTTCCTTCCTTCCTTCCTTCCTTCCTTCCTTCCTTCCTTCCTTCCTTCCTTCCTTCCTTCCTTCCTTCCTTCCTTCCTTCCTTCATTCCAGCTGCTTCCTTCCCTCATTCATTCATTCATTTATTCATTCATTCATTCCAGCTGCTTCCTTCTCTCATTCATTCATTCATTCATTTTCATGTTAAACAGTCATTTAAGAGATCACCAGTCAGTCACCAGTGTATATCATACTTACTGGGTGATGTATATTTGCAGGACAACAAATTCGAGGTCAGATCATTGGTCAGGTACTAGGCTATGTGCAACATGTGAGCTTCAGTCCAGATGATACCTTGATAGCAGCCTGCATAGGGACTGAAGTCCTCGTCTTAGATTCTCAGGTAAGTGAACTTTCCATGGTTTGAGAAGAAACTACTTAAGCTGTTTGTACATTTTTGTACATGTATCATAAAGAAACTCTTGTGTGTGTACGTCGGTGAAGGTTAGACATCCAGTTACTGCATGGTAGTAATAAGGTACGCCAAAAAACAGTAACTGTTACTCAAGCAACTGGATATGAAAGGTAGTGGATGCTACCTGAAACGTCTGACCGTTTCCAAAATCACATCCAGCTGCTTGAGTGTTTTTTTGGCATTTTGTGTGTATATTGTACACTAAGCACATCATATGCAACAGTACACTTGTATATACAACTTCTGATTTTCCTGACTTAGTCTTTCTTGTAAATCATGTAGTTGCTAATACTTGCTATACATATAACATACACATTACAAAAGCCATCGGAAGCTGTTCAGAAATGATTTTAGTCACATTCTTTTTTCTGCAGGTTGAAAGACTTCATTCTACTTTAGAAGGGCATAACTCTACTGTGACATCGGCAGAATTTTGTCCACATTATAAAAGCACTATAGTATCTATTTCTGAGGACAGGACTTTCAAGGTAACAGCATACTTCAGTTGTCATTTTACTTTACCACTTAATGGTATCAAGTGCAATTTTAGGGCAGAAAAACTGGATTTGCGAAGTCAATTTTCTGGTCATTCTTTTAATGTAGTAAGTTGAATCAACCCTATGCCATAGCATGATGTTGCTGATGGAAAATGGTTGCTTGTTTTGTGTAATTAGCTATTTATTAGCGGTCCCAAAAAATGAAGCGATTCTTCACGTAGCTTATTTTTGAGCTATTTCAAATGCTTCAAGTATGAAGTAATGACTAAAATGTTCAAAGACATGGCAGTAAATGTCAACATCTGGGAGATTTCCTCATTTATAATATTTTCTGTTTTGCCACCCTGAAATTGCATTGGATGCCTTTTAGTGTCTTTCACCAGATTGGCTTTAATCAATGTATAAGCATTCTCTAAACTTAAGTTGTCTTCAACTTTACTTGCACTCTGTTTTGAATAGAACATGTCCTACCTGAGCTTTGGACTGTGATGAGTGCTGTTATTGAGATTTCTGATTCAAGGTACCTCCTTCACTTCTGTCTTTATTACTTCTACATACTATATTCTTTTCCATACATGTAACTTGTACTATTCTTTTCCATAAGCTGTTTGCTTGTCTTATAATTTGCTCTCTCTTGCATGGTGTAAATGTGTACAAGGTGTGTCAGTACTACATGTACATAGCTTGTCTGCAAATATCTTTTACAGGTTTGGGACTTGGAAAATTCAGCATTAGTGTACCAATCAGCAATAATATCTGGTAAGTATGAATGATAATATCCTTTAGTATAAGTAAACAAACCTGAACTGAGATTTGTGTTGTCTTTGTTATATGCAGGAAGAATTGTACAATGTATTAATGGGGTTTTATAATGCTGGAATTGTGGTGTACTTGTACTTACTACATGTACTTCTCACTTTGGCTTTTGCCTTTAATGACATTATGTTGTTTCATTCACGGCGGCCACTGTGTACTGCATGAACCAGTCATAAATTGCTATGGTCATCAAAATGTCATCTGTTGGTAAACA